ATCTGAGTTTATTCTGACTCACAGATGTCGAGACGACACTAACTCTCGTTTAATTACCTGGTCATCTATTATCTATATTTTCTGAAATATACATATTTTTTAACTCGCTTTTCCTTGCTGCGAGAAGAATTTTAAAAAATTACTTCTACCTCTTTCATGTTCTTCTTCTGCGGGCGAAGTTTTCGGTGAAGACTTTTATTAATGGGCGGACGTTTCGACGATATCGCCTTCTTTGAAGTCCCAATCCATAACTTTATCTAATCAGTAATCAAGTGTAAAGACTGGATCCCCACTGCTAAACCTCCTTGGCAGAGCAAAGGTATTATTACAACGATGTCAGGTACTCGAAGAGAGAACTTAGAAGCTTCTCCAATTGAGGAATCTTTGAAAAAAAACCAGCTGCGCTTGTCACTTCAAAATATCCAATGTTATCATTATTTTTCATATCAACTGTATATTTATACCCCGTAATCACATTTCATTATACTTTGCTGTTACATTATCTTATCACTTACTATTGACTAGATATTATTCAATACACATGATTTCATGACCGAAGGGCTACGAAATTTCGTATCTATTAAAACGTTTTTCACTTATTCGATCTCACCTCCAACCTACAGCACCTTTTTATGATTGTTTGAATGAATTCTGCCTTTTGTAAGTCTAGATATCTACGAATAGAGCTCAAAATTTCGCGAGTTTAGGAATATTATTTTAATAAACCCCTCTAGTTTCTCGGATGGAATCTTCATTAAGAATGTGATCGTGCAAAACGCGAGAATGATACTTTTTAAGAAAACTGACATTCAGTATTATACTTATGATTTTTGACCCTCCGAACTTTATACTAAATCAGCGCCTTGAATTCTCAATTTCTTGAGTCTATTGAGCTTTGTTGGACTCTCATTGAAACACGATCTAGCTTACTGTCCATAGAAAATTTATCAGTACATTCATATGGTAACGAATCGAAATAGGGAGTACTACGTCCGAAAAAAAAGAGCTAAGCTGATTTCAAGGCCTTATCCGCTGGTCCATTCCTCCGTCACTTTTGTCGTCTGGTCTCCCATTTAATACGAATCTCGCTAGAATAAACAGTAGATTTTGAGCTAGATGTGTACGTTTTTTCTTGGGAAACAAGCCCGGCAGACATTCTTCACTCGTTCATTTATTTTGATTCCTTCTCTCGTTCTTCTTCACAGTTTTTCCTTCCGAATCTCTTCCCTAAGAGCATTGCAAACAGTTGAGTCGTCGAAATCATCTCATTTCCTCCGGGCCATTTCGCATGAACTCATTCGTCGCCGATATCGCTCGA